AATAATAATTAATATAAACTTTGAATTAGTAATTTATAAGTAAATAGGAAAACTAAGACTTCCATGGATGGAGGATAGCTTACAGTAAATAGAAACCACCAACCTAAAAAGACAAAAGCTCTCATCCCCTACCAGCTTTCTCCCCAAAGTTTTGTTTGAGAATTTTATAATTTTTTTTTTAATTTTTACACGACGAGAAAATATGCCAACAAGGATGCAGGTTGAATAGCAACTAAAGCATCAAATTTCCTTGGATGAATAACCCACATTTCAACCCACAGTAATAACATAAGGCATAAACTGAGGCGCATTGAATTGAAATCAATAATCATAAAAACTTTCAACCGATTATTGATCAGATAGAATTTTAAACAGCCTTTGATTAACAAGATAAATCAATTACCTCTTGTAGCTTCTCCACTTTAGTGAAATGACGGCCAAAGGATGTGTAACGCATCCCATTAAGAAAAGGTGCAAGGTACACTGCAAGTTTATCCTAAAGCACAATGAAACAGCTTGTCAAAATAACAAAAAGAAAATAATGCAAAAAAATTCATGAATGTGAGTGCTATAAACATGCAGTTGGCAAAATTTAAGCAGTAAACAAGGAAGGTTGATTCAAGGCACATCGTCTCATCCTTGACGTTCAACAAGCGTAAATCTGAGTTCTCCTACATGACCAAGTTGCTATAATATAAAGCTTGTTTGCAAGCATGTCAAGCAAAAAACTCATTTCCACAAATAATCTACAGTCAACAATTAAATTTTCAAAATGCAACTGCCGGTGCATAGCTACAATACATCATCAAATCAAAAAAGTGACAACTGAAACTAGCTCAAACCAGATCCAGCATTGCTAGAGAAATAGATATACAAGAATATCAAAGCATATATTAGTTTATCTAGAAAATTAGCTTTAAAATATCCTATTGCACCTATGACAAACTGCTGATAGGATAATAAAGTGAGCGTGATATACAACCTTCCATTTAAATATCTGGTTTAGCATCTCCGGGTCGCAAACAGCTTTTGCATCTTCAATACTATTTCCTTTAACTATTTTCTGTAAAGCTGCTCGAACCGCCTGCAAACAATCAAGGAATCAGATACCCTAATAGAATGATAACTATATATCAAGCTATAATTGTATTCTAAAAATAAACCTCAACGGAGCCCTCTATCCTTCCCAGTGTAGTAGTCTTCTCTACGAAATGTTTTAACGAGTGCGCATGCGTTGATGGAACTTTGTGCTTTTGAATAATCTCTTCTAGAGTTACAGAGGATGCTGCCTCTTTCATTAGTGCTAGTAGTCTACATTGGCCAAAAAAAAATAAGAACATCATTATATAAAATAATAATAAATTAATCACACATTATACAACAGCCACATATGCTTTAACTAAAAGGTTAAACAAATGATACAACAACTTAGAACCAGAAACATAAAGGGGAAAGTCACCTCCTTTCTGTGCCAGCATCAATTGAAAGAGGCTCAATGCTTAGCTTCTTTGTTGCAGGCTTGAGAATTTTATTCTTACCATGTTTGCTATCAGCTGTATCCCTTCTCCCAATCTTTGCTTGGTCAGAGCCATGGTTCATAAATTCATATAGCCTCTTGCCCAGGGATACTTTGTCTTCATTAGTTGCAGAGGACTTATTCACGTCCATCACAGTAGTCTTCATGACTTTCATCATTGGCTTTCTTGGTGCGTTGGATACTTTCATTCTCCTTTGGGTATCTCGAGAAGAAGAAAATTTTTCATGCTCTGAAGCCTCACCCTTCGCAGAACCCAACTGTTTAGGTGCTTTCAGAACTGTTTTTCCCTGAGAAGAGTCATCTGAGGTAAGATATCTCTTCTTCAGTCCAGTTGTACCCTTGTGCACAGGCAACTCTGGTGCCCTTTTTTCATTCTCTTCAATACCAGGAAATTTTATGTGATCTCTTATTGGTGTTAGAAGTGAATCATCAATCTTATGATCCCTGTTCACAACAGAAGGTAAAACCATTGAACAAGCCATCTCACAGATGATGAACAAAACCAGCTCATGTAAAAAAACTTACAAGCAATATATGAGTATACGGTTGAGCAATAGACCATCCCATGCCCTTGTATATATGCCTTCCTCCTCTACATCGTCAAAAGAAATCTCCCTGAATTTCAAGCACCATGATTCTAGTTATTACTTAAGGGCCCCATTCCAATATCTGAAGGGAAAAAAATAATATAAGAAAAGAAATAAGTTATGAGCACACCGTGGCAAGCATTTCCTATGGTATGATTTGGGACAACGCCTGCATACAGCAAGCTGCAACTCCTCATTCTTCTTATCCTCAATTTTTTTACAAACACAGCACTTATGAATAGGGCATGTGAATGATTGCCCTCCAGCAATACTTTTCTCAAGTTCTTCTGCATCAATTTTATTCCCTGGATGGAGCAATTTTGCAACACAACGGGGATGGTAAAAATAGCCACAGGTGGCAGCAACACAGCGGAAGACCTAAGATGATTTGATAAAAATACAAGAGCAATTAAAGAATATACACAAAAAATACTTGAAAAGAACCTAAAAAACAATTGCAACACTGCCAAACTGCAAACTAACATCCTAGTAGCAAAGTTTATAAAAGATTGATATTTCAAAAGCACCATTGCCAATCAAATTTCTAGTAGCAAACTCATACCTCTGTAGCAGAAGATTTACCAGAGAAGCCTAGCTTCCCACAAGCAAAACATTGATGCTGATCATATTGACAATTCTTGCATAAGAAACTTTGCATTTCCTGCCAAATATTTGAGGAACACCAAATAATCAACAGCAATACACACAGGTGCAGTCACATAGATAAAAAGAAGTGCAGAGTAAGTGTAATTCTTCCACATAAACATACATAGATAAAAAGAAGTGCAGAGTAAGTGTAATTCTTCCACATAAACATAGAACTACACAACAAGTACAGCTAGTTGTAGAAATTTTCCAGTAGAATACCTTCACGTCCTTATTGGAAAAGCCAAGGGACTCACAGAGAGATTCTTCACCAGCCTCCTTAAAAGCATGAAACGAACGCATACACTTTCCATCACAACTGTATGCAAAAGAAACAAAATACATCATATAAACTAGCCATGAAGATCACAATAAAGAAAGTACCAGAATATTCCTTTCCTTCCATACAACCCAAAATTTTGTCATCCCTTGTAGTTTTTTTTTTTTTTGAAATATAAAGTGTGAAAATTGTATTGATATAGGCACTAAGAGGATGCTATCTATTCACAAAATTTACAACTCAATCAATATATTAATAATTTCTGCCAAATCCTCCATAGAACGAAAAGAAAGACCCCGTAACAAAAAACCAAGGGTCTGGAACCATCTATTCTTAGGGACATAAAAACCATTTACATCCTCAACTCCATCAAAGGCATCAACTGATGATGGCAGATTTGGTGAGAGAAGAAATTTGGGCGTGGAAGGGTATCGACGGCCGGTGAAAACAAGAGGATCTAATTCCGCTCTCTATCTTTTGGGTGTTGTGGAACGAGAAGAATAGAATGTCGCCTACAGCCCCAATAACTATCATCCCTCATAGTTAGAATGTCACCTACAGCCCCTATAACAAATAAATCAGGTCAACCCAAGTCCTTGGCAGTCTACTATCAGCGCACCAAACTATCAAATGTTAGACTTCACTTTAGTTTCTTGAAAACACAAATCAGGCATTCATTTACCTAGGAAGCTTAATAACTACCCTATTGCTTATGTCATTTGCACCCCTTAAATTTGAGAAAAACAATATTTTTCATATAATCTCAACAAATATTCAGAATATGACATACTCGCTGTCCTTTTGTCTGCCTCACTCCTCTTGTAATAATTTACATAGCATTTCAGCCTCTTAAGCTATAGTTCTTTTACCATGACTCTTATGGCTTCTTTCAAATAATAAAAAGTTTTATAGACAACTCTTCATGCCCATCAAAACTCACAACAAAAAGCTTGTTGTTCCTATAGATATTATTTAACATCAAATCAGATAGCCTCTCTTTGTTATTAAGGCCTTTATCACGCACCAAAAATTCACCCTACCCATCAACCCTCACAACCTCCAGTCCACTTGCCTGCTTGATCTCAGCGTCTAGAAACAATCTTCAATCCATCTAATGGCTGCTTAACGTTCCTAGAGGAAGGACAAATCAGGACCTCTTCTACGAGGTGGAACTGGAGTTTTTAACTGAAAAACACATGCATCTACCTCCCCCAGAGCTAGGAGCCCTAAATCTTACATACTCTTAAGGAAGAACCTCCATTTGAAATGTTCATATTCCAGGAACAACTAGGACCATCGATTTTCTAAGATTCTATGCTCTGTGAAAAAATTCAGTGAATACAAGAATGGAACAAAGTCAGAATTGCATAAGCAAGGACGCCCAAGAAATCAAGGCTATGCTTCGCATGAGTCTTAACTTTGGGCTTACTAATGGGAACGTTTGTCTCTCTTTATTTAGCAAAATATCTAACTTCATGAGGCCCAATGCAAGAGCACTGAAAGACAGACAAGGCCATTTCACATAACAAACAAGTGGTTTGCTTCAGTTTGAAATTTGAAATCCTTCTTACCAAATTTGAGAATGGGTCCTTTTTCCTTATCCCAATCACTTTTTTTGAAATAATAATTTTTTTTTAAATAGCTTATCCCAATCAAAAACCACATTTGCAAAATATTTCACATAAATTCACTCCTAAGACTCTGAAACAGCTTTAAAAGAGCTATCAAGAATTTCCTTGCAACGGAGAGAAGAAACTAGAACTGTCTCACGTAAACCCATTTCTGTCATCGCTTTGCCACTAGAGACTCCAATTCCCAAGAAAAGCCCAAATCGATGACCTTCTTCTTACCAGACTAAAAGGCAAGCAAACCCAAGCCACAAACATCACCTCACTATCGAAAATAGTCAAGAGTATCCACCAATAGCTGCCTCATGGACTTCTGGAAGGAACATTCTCCTCCTAGCATTTATAATGCAAAATGGATTATGCCTAAACAAATCAGAAATTGTAATTATATTAACTGTAAAATTACTATACTATTTAGGAGTCTATAATTATATTATCCACGATTTTATTATAATTTTAGTATTTTATTCTTTTCCTATTTGTTTTAATCTTTTACTATTTTTATTAAGACAATGACTCATAATATTATTAGTATTAGTTTCCTAATCTTATTAGTTTACAATTTCTTAATTTAATCCTATTTAGTAAAGGTTAATCATGGAGCATTATGAATATATTTATAATTTAACTTCTTGGGACAATATTCAATTATTTAATAAAATATTTAGAGGAATTCTCAATTTTTCTAGTTGTGTAATGCAATCAAACCCTTTAAGTATGATACTTACGACTTCTTAGATATAATGTCTAAGAACCCT